CCGCCCATCCCCCCCCCGAAAAAGGAAAAGGAATAAAGAAAGAGCTGCCCAGTCAGCATGCTGTCAGGTGAACCTCCTCCAGAAACAGCTACCACCTCATCTTCAGGCTGCAGCTCATATAGACTAACGCCAAGGCCAAGCACATCGATAAAGCTCCCCTCCTGTCCAACAACTAGCAGCACAGTTCCAGAAACAAACAAACAAAAAACAAAACAAAACAAAAACAAAACAAAACAAAAACAAAAAAAAACCTTGCTGCGCAGTCATATTGCCATTTTCCTGCAGCAGGCAAGTCTGTTTTCCCTGTGCAAAATCACCATCTGCTAGAATTGTTGGCTATGTCCTGAGCAATTGCAAGTCCCCCACACAGCACTGTGGCATGCAGATCGAAACTGAGAAACGTCGGCGTTTCCAATCGCACAGGAGTGGAAGACTGATAGCACCAATCATCATTGAGCCACAATTATTTTGTACGACCGCCATGCTTGTCGAGTCGTGATTCATGCGAGTCATCCTCGAAAGCGCAGGGGTCATGCTAATCTTCTCTGTATCGTTCCCATTTTAACAGATGTCATTGTCTCGAAGGACTACGACCGCCATGGTTAACGAGGAGGCGCAACCTTTTTCCCAGTCGGCCTGTTGGATTGGTGATCCAACCGCGCTCCTGTCCGCAGGGGTTGACCAGGTTCTCTAGGAGGTCGTGCTGGTTTCAGACGTATGGATATGACACACTGAAGGGCTGCGGTTCGAGTCCCCCAGGCAGAAAAGAAGACAGAAAAAGAAGACGTATGGGTACTATGAAGATGCAGATGACGCATTCGGAGAAATCTGCCACATCAGCATCTCATCTCCATCAGTGGTGACTACAGAACGTAAGGACAATTGCTCCGTCGTACGACATAGGAAGGAAGGAATACAACCGATACGTCTACAGAAGGTAGGGTTCTGCGGTTCGAGTCCTGGCTTATGTTCCCCACAGTTCCCGTAACACGTACAGTAGTCGGAATACCTGGCCCAGCTTGTAGACGCGAGCATAGCAGTTGTCTGCCATGAACAATCAGCATCTGGGGGAAAGGCGGCGCGACTACTACAGACTCGTACAGAGATGCCTGCCAGCACTCTGCTCAGGAAACAAACAAACACCAGAGCCTCCTTGTCGCAAGACCAGCTGTTCTACTCTGAAAAAAAAAAACTCCGACAAAGCCTCGTTGTCGCAAGGCTAGCTGTAAAAGGCTTTGATTGCTATCTTGTGCTATCTTGACTGAGTGCTTGGTTGATTGCCTGATCCCTTTTCTTTTCCTTTTCCTTCTTCTTTTTATTTTTATTTTTGAAAGGGGCGACAGCCTGGAGATATCATCACTGCCGAACTCATCGGCTGGAACTAGGTCTAGGTAATTCACATATTTGATTTGCCTACGTCTGGCTTGGTTCGAACTCCGGTCTGTATTTCAAAAACAGTTCATGGGTGTTCCAACTGCGCTGGGCCCATTGGTTGCCTGATCCCTTTTCCAAGCATGGTGGTACAATATATATGCGGTTCCGGCTCTCGGTTCCGACACCAGCTTTTTCTGCAAGAGCACTGCCAGCTTACAAATTCCTAAAAGGCTCACTAACAGGCCACACCAGGGCCGCTCTAGCTAAGTAACGGTAAAAAAGCGCCTACAAACAAATTAACACTCAAAGGGTCCTCCACATTAACTAGCGAACACTGGAAAAGAAGCTAGCAAACACTGGAAAAGAAGCTAGCAAACACTAGAGAATAAGAAGTTGGCATGAGGTCGAACGAGGGTCATGCTGAGTAACACACACTCAGCAGAATCAACTAATTAAACACTAACAGCCGCTTTTATACGCAGGTAACGAACAATACAACGGGTCCCGACGAGGTCAAGCCGCCAGCTCACCAGCCTGCAACGACCGCAAGTTGGTACTGATCTCCCACACTACTACTTCTGCTGAGGTTTCGTGCTCTCTCAGACGCTCTGTACGCTGTTCCGTCCTAGCTCAAGGGTCGCTGACAAAAGCTTCACCGATAGTCACAGCAAGGCAAACTGCCTAAGGAATTGGGGAAGTAATACCACCTCGTGCTCTCCCAACAACCCTGTCTTCAGTCTGCCGAGGCTTGGCCAAGGACAGGTAGACTTCCAAGCTACTATCCCTGGCTGCAGTCTGCCAAGGCTTGGGAAGCCATAGGTTGTGTGTTAGATTCTTGGACCAGACATGCACAACCGGAGTTCACTTCCAAGCTACTATCTGATACGCCTCCAAGATATTTTTTGAAGTTGGCCTGAATGCGCTCTATGGAGTCTGTACAGTGGAAAACACCTGAAGGATGGATGATGGGTCTGTTAGTCCCAAATGTCCAGGTGGATATCATTCATTTGCTGAAGAGAAACATATACACAAGCCGCCACCCTCTTCTCCCTTGCCCCCCCTTGCCCCCCTTGCCCCCCTGCCCCCTGGGCCCCGCCCTTGGCTGCCCCCTTTCCCTCCTTGCTCTCTCCCCCCTCCCTGTCAAGAATGCAGTCCAGACCATTCTCCTCTAGCCCCTGCGGTATAAGTTCTGCAAGCACTCTCTCAAAGGAAAGTCGTTGGCCACTGCTCTCCCTCCATCAGTACGTGCAAATTATTTCCCAAGTTTCCGTATCGTCAATCTCCATGGTTCGTTGGAAGACGAGCCAGCAGTCACAGGGAAACAAAACCCCAACCTACTTCTCATCGCGCAGGATGCAAACAAAACCATTGTGTGAACCGAGTCGGAATGGCGGCAGACATAGTGGAGTGGTTTGCTCACTGCTGCTGCTACTCAACCTGCTTGTTACCCTGGCGAGAATTGAACCAGGGTCTGTCTACCTGGTGATGAGAGTTCAATGCACTAACCCACTGGGCTAGGCAACTACTCACCCTCGTTAGCTGCTACTGTACTTGACAACTGGCATCTGCAGTGTCCTGACAACCTGTGGATAACTCTGCAGGTTCCTGCCAACCTGTGGTTAACTCTGCAGGTTCTTGACAGCCTGTGGTTAACTCTGCAGTGTCCTGACAACCTGTGGTTAACTCTGCAGTGCACTTACCCTCCTTAGTTGCTAGTGTACTTGACAACTGGCATCTGCAGTGTCCTGACATCCTGTGGATAACTCTGCAGGTTCCTGCCAACCTGGGGTTAACTCTGCAGTGTGCTGACAACCTGTGGTTAACTCTGCAGTGTCCTGACAACCTGTGGTTAACTCTGCAGTGTCTTGATAACCTGTGTGGTCAGTATGTAATTTCCCACTACGAGCCGTTTCACCGCACGCAGAGTCGTTGGCAGTAAGCCCTCACACCCGCAGGAACGCCCACATTGACTTGCGTGCGCAGGTACTCCTCTGCCTCGCCCTGTCAGGTCACATTGCTTGATGTGCCACCACTGGGTGCCAGTTACTGCCATGCACGGTCAGTCACTAGTATCCAGAGTTGTTACTTTGCTCAGTGAGAACTATGCACAAACAAACAAACAAACAAGAGGAGGAATCATGAACACGTGGTCCCTGTTTGTTGCAGCATTCAGCAACCCTGACATGAACATAACCGCTGCAGCCTCTCTGCAGCATGCCTTTGATCGTGCCATGCACGAACAGGGAGATGGAGAACCAGGAGAAAGACACCTGGAGAGACCACCTCGTTGCCTCGCTCTCTTGGGGCACACAAATAGACCTGCCCACCACTGCGATCGATCAGAGGGACATACCTGGTTACCGCTTTGTGCACGACATGACACATTTTCACCACTCTCTGCCAGTTGGGAAGTTTGTGCGTTTGTCGCTGCACAGTGTCATGCATATCTCTGGTACCTGGTTACTGTTTGTGCACAACATCACACATTTTCACTACTCTCTACCGCTTTTTTTCAGACGTTTGTGCGTTCATCTCTGCACAGCGACATGCATTCCCCGGGATAGAATGCCCTGTTGCGCACTGAATCTCCCTGTCGATACCCAGCTGGTGTTAGGAGAAAGCCTGCACGAGGAATCAACACCAACTTATCCTGGGCCCGACCTCACCCAACAGACAGGTCCTTCAATCAATGTTGGACTTGCACCCTTGCCATGGTTGAGACGCATGACTTCCTGTCAATTTACAAACAAGCGGACTCTCTCACCACTTTAGACATGCGTGTATACACTAGCTTCGCGAATCCCTTTGCCGAATTTGCACAGTACCTAGGCTGTTTGTCCACATACAGCAGCAACCTACAGCACACACACATGCTGAAAGAACACCTATGAATGACACTGGACGGGCATGCCTGATGTCTCTGATTTCCGGGGTGGGAACTGGCACGTTAAAACAAAGGTGCTTCCCACTACCTTCTTTCCCTCTCTCGCGGGGCGGAAATCATGAACACGGGCGGCCAGACAGATTGAGCACCCGGGAAGGATGGTAATGGAAAGGCCTTCCTTAAGCCTCTGGTTGCTCGGCCGACAAGCAAGCAAGACGAAACAATGCGTCTTTCGCCTACCTTCGCTCCCCTACCTTCTTTACCTCTCTTGGGGAGAAATCATACAAACAGGAAAGCCAGGAATGAGGCTAGACGGGGCGGTCTCCCGGCGTCTCACGATTGCCAAGGCGGATGGCGAGGAGGAGCCTAAGGAAACAGTGTTGGTTCCCCACACTGTACTTTCATTCCCTCTGCGAAGCAGAAACCGTTTCCAGGACGCCAAACTGCAATCAAAATAACTCGAAATGAGGGCGCGGTTTTCCGTGACGTAGTGCCACAAGGGGATACCACGCACGTTTCAATAAAAGCATATTGTGTATATGGGACGCCGTCTGAACTGCTGCTCGAATTTCTTAATCACGTACTCTACTTCATCCTCCCAATTGACAGTAGCTTCCAGCTGCCAATATGACACATGCACAAGCACAACAAACAGAACAGGAGGGACCAGATATCGCCGTCAATAAACACTGTAAGAGAATCGCCAGGGTTCAAGGCCACATTACAGTCTCATTTTCACCACTTTCTGCTAGCATGGAGCTCTTTTTTTCCGGTTAGGTTGCAATGTCTTTCTTCCCGGGCGGCCACCACACGCCCACCAATGCCGTGCGTGTGCGTGTATTGAAGCAGAGAGTAGCTTGTGCTGAGTGCTCTCAATTAACAGCAGCTTGCGCTCTTGAAGCAGAGAACGCGCTGCAACTTTTCTCTTCCCGGAAAGCCACCATGCGCCTACCAATCACACGCATCATAAGCTGTTAGTCGACAGCAGCCCCTGCTATCTCCCAGACAAAGCGCAAGGTCGCTGTATGTTCATTCAATGTTCGTCAACCATTCAGTGCAATTTTCAGCCAGCGATGGTCACTCCGAGTCTGCGTTCTTTTAGAGGGAAGATAGCACCCACTCTTGAACTTGAAATTGGTAAGGATTGGCGACGAGGATTGGTTGTTTGACACCACAAAACATATTTAAATTTTAAAATAATAGACAGAGTCTGACAGACAGCCATGAGACAATGAAGGGAAACACAAGCTACAGAGAAGGAATCTTCCCTGGCCTCGCTGGACTTCTACCCTACAGTCTTCACCCGAATGGAACGCCCAGTCATTATCGCGGTACCTAGACTGAAAGTTGTACCATGTACAGCTTTTAAAAAAAAAAAGAAAAAGAAAAAGAAAGAGAGGGCGGCGGCCTTGAGATACGATCATTGAACTGACCTGCCCAGGTAATTCAGAAGTCTGTTATTTTGTTAATCTGACTGCATCCGAATTCGAACTTGGGTCTGTATTTCAAAAGCTCATGGGTTTACAACCTGAGCTAGGCCCGTTGGTACACACACCGCACCACACACACACACTCTCCCTATACATAGTATACACCATATACAGCTATACTGACCGGGCGTTCTGTTTGGGTGAAGACGGTGGTGGTACAAGCTGAATAGAGCTGCTGCTCCCCATAGTTGCAAGGAAACTAGCCGCTCAGGAGAAACTCGTCACAAGCACCGTGAAATCTCTTGACCGGCATGCATATCTCAACCAGGATAGCAGCAGAAACAACAAAGCAATGATCACACCAGAGCAAGAAAAGACGATGTTCAAGTCACTTCGATGATGAAAGAAAAAGCCGCCTTCTCGCCTCTCAAGAATCAAGGCAACAAGAAGAGTGCCAGTTCTCAGCCCTCGCTGGCCTCTCTATCAGCTGTTATGACCACCTACTCTATCATCTACCCTCCCTCAGCCCATAGTACTCCACACATGCTCCTCTGCTTTACCTGCGTCAACCGCTGGCTGTTTCTGGCGCGTTCATGTCTGACCGCGCACCTCCCTGTCCTTGCCGATCTGATGCTTCTGTCGCTGCTATGTCCATTGAATCTCCTACTACCCCATCTTCCAATCCTCCTCATGAGCCACTTGGCTGTTCCCTTATGCCTCCTGAATTGACTGTTCTGCTCTTGGTTCCTCTTTTGCAAGTTGGACTGATTCCAGCATTGCCTGCTGTTCATCAGTTTTACTGTACGACTTCTGGAATGACTGTGGTCTTTCCCCCTTGTGCCCGCCCACTCGCCTTTCCCTCCTCCCCTCCCATTTTTCCTCTTCAAAGAGCCTCCTCTACCCATGCTCTCTCCGCCTGTCTCGTCACGTTCCATGTTATACCCCTTTTCCACTGCCTGACTTCCTGACGTGCCCTCCACTTCTTTCCCCGCCCTTTCCTTTTCCAGCAAGCTCTTATCCGCCATTCGCCCAATCTCGTGCAATTCATTCACTGCCTCCGATCTCTGCTTTTGGTCCATCACAGTCCTGGTCGCAGGCAGCCAATCAATTATAGGATTGGTTGGGTATTCTGGGTTCGGCCTCTTTCGGACGAAGCTGCGCATCCCTTTGGAAAGATCATCAAATTGCACCCAAAAAAGTGGTTGTGCAACAGGGCCCTAATTCTCTGCAACAATAGGTCAGACTGGATCTATAGCTCTAATTCTCTGCCAAAGAGAACAGCCATCATCGTGCTCATCGGATATGAAGCCTCTCAGAGAATCTCAGGAGAAGAATGCCACAAGTGGATGAAAGGGGAAGGCATATCGATCAGACTGGATTTTTGCTACAGGGACGGAAAATATAGACTGATATCAATCTATAGCCCTAATTATCATTCTACTACCGTGGTAGGGGACCTGTTGCGGCTACGCCCGCAATAAAAAAGGAATGTTTGCCAAGAAAAACAACGAAGTTGATGGACTCTCTCTCTCTCTCTCTCTCTCTCTCTCTCTCTCTCTCTCTCTCTCTCTCTCTCTCTCTCTCTCTCTCTCTCTCT